TGGACAAAAAGAGGATATGTATAATGTATCATAAAACACACTCACACGCAAACCCATATCATATAATGCATGCATCCATCCATCCAAGTTATTAAATTCTATTCATCAATATCCGATATACATTTTTTATATTGTTGTTACATATAAAATTGGTTTTTCCACAATCCCATGAGGTGAAAATGCCCTACAACTTAATTATTCATCTCTCGGTGCGTTTGTTATGTCCACTTCTTTCTCTCTCCCGAATAAATTGTCCCGAAAATTCGTGATTGTGAATCCTGAAAGTCAAACTATTTTGCTTCAGGATCAGCGGCTGCTCACTGATTCTCAATCTAAATCTCAAATTTATTCTCCTGATTCTATAATCCAAATTTCTAATATCCGATCCAAATATGTTTTTAAATTTTACTTTATTTGTATATAGAAGAGGTGGCTTTAAACCAGCCTAATTTGGACATGCGGCATTTAAACTCCAAGAATCATCTTAGGAATTTAATTATAAATTCTCAAACTAAACCATGATGAAACGAATGTAATCTAAGTATCAAACGACAAATATATCCAAGCTCGCCCTTCGGGGCCAGGTCAGGTGGTAAGGGAGTAGGGTGAGCAACTCTGAGGTGGAGGGATCGAATCCCAACATCGCTCTTCCTTACGCTTGACCTGCTCGCCTGTCAGCCCATCCTAATGGGTTGATTTACCTCCTCCGCGTGTGTTGCAGGCTCGTGCGCGTGGGCGGGGGGTTTGACCTGCAGACGCCTAAGCCCAACTACGGCCCGAGCGTTAGGCGCGTCTGGTGGCCAGGTCCGGCGGACTGAGGTCCATGGGGACTGTTAGGCGCGGGTGGTGGCCAGTTCGGCACCGTTTGTAAGGGTAGGTAGTCAGTTCCCCACGTTAACAAAAAATATATATATATATATATCCAAGCTCAAGTTTCAAAACCAAACTTCTAGGGTTGTGAAGGGTGCAACGGCTGGCTTCATAAGCCCCGTATAATTTTATAACAAAGATTCTTAAAATGAAAATTGTTTTTATTTAGAAGATGGTTAGATATTGTTATTCGAAGTTAACGTTTTATTTTTCCGAAGATTCGTTCCGTAACCATTTCTATATATAATGCAAGTACAAGACATACCGAGAAGATTATCAATTTTGAGTAATTCCCTTTGTATATCTTAATTACGACAATTGGTTCTAGCAATATTTTTGAGGATTTTAACCTTCAAATAACCTCTATATGAATCATATAACGCTAAATCGCATTGGAAACGACCGAAAATCTTTATATTAGGGTTAAATTTCAGAATAATGCGAGTGAACAAGAGGATTCGAATCCGAGAATTTAATTTTGTAATGTCCCCACAAAATGTAGTGTCATATAAAACAAACTGTTGTAAGAGAGATATGAAGACCCTACGTCCAAATTATTGGGACTTCGGTCAACTCTTGTTATAAGCATGTCCACGTTTAGTGGTGTGGTAGATTTCGAATATTTTTCTCTAAAAATATTAGGGTAAAACCCCTTAAAAACCTCCAACTTGCAAAAATATATACAAATAAACCTTTAACTTGAAAAACTATCATTCAATCCCCGAACTTGTAATTTATCACTGAATAAAACCTCGAACTTGCAAATTATTGCTCTAATAAACCTTTGACCGATTTGACCACAATTTCAGGCGATCTGAAATCTACGTATTAACGGATTGTTTATGTCACCTTATACACGTTATCAATTTTAATTTAAAAAATGACATCAGCAATCCGTCAATACGTGGATTTCTGATCGTTTGAAATTGTGGTCAAACCGGTCAAAGGTTTATTAGAACAATAATTTGCAAGTTCGAAGTTTTATTCAGTGACAAGTTACAAGTTCGGGGATTGAATGACAGTTTTTCAAGTTGAAGGTTTATTTGTATATTTTTTTGTAAGTTGGAGGTTTTTTAGGGGTTTTACCCAAAATATTATTAAACCCTAACACGATGCGTTATATTTGTGTTATAACAAATATAATATTTGATGAAATGAAATTGGCTTTATTGATTTTTATAATCTCTTCCAAACCCATATAAAGTAATTTTTGTACACCGAAATTTCATTTTTCTATTAATGAATAGAAATTATTTTGGGTTTGATTACACAAAAGTCAACTGGTCCTCTTCGGTCTTAACTCCTTTATAAATATAATGCATAGAAACCCTAATTAAGCCCTAACTACAGATAATTACTCCTTTTATAATATTTCCATACAATGCATCTTTTCCTCACATGCCCATTTATTGCTTATGGGGTTGTAATTTTTTATTGCTATTTTTTGATCTTTGGGGAATGGGCACGCATTTTTCTTTTGCTTAAATACAAATGTGAAATTCGCACAATTCAAACCTGAAATTGTGATTTGATATTAAAATGTTCAGAGAAAATAAAAAGCAGCAAGGGCGAACAACATGAGAAAAAAGGGTGAAGGAAAAATGCGAAATTGTATAGCGGTATTTAGATATTTAGCCCCGTATATGTATGTTTCTAGGATGTTATTTAGGCTTATAAATACCTTTAGATCTCGTAGTTGGCTCAATTGATATCACATAATAAAATTTCAAATTTGTTATGTGATGGTCCACGTAACTATATATTATTCAACATATTCAATAAATTCTTCCATTTGATTATTGGAGCGAGATCATCGTATGTGTACCACCTTCACCCTCGATAGCGATGCTGAAACATGCCATGACAGGATGTTTTTCAAAAATACGTGTCTATGCAGTTTTGCTTAGAGTTTATAGATACAATGCAAATAAAATTTTTAATTTCGAAATAATTATATATTTTTTTTGCAATTATTATTCGGATATATTAGGATATACATTCGGTTTATAGTATCACTTAGATTAGAAAGTATTCGCGTAAGATACACATTCTATTTGTATTATATTTTCGTCCATCAATTAATTATACGATGTTACGTAATGAATATTAGACACGGTAGCACCGTTTGGTTTTTACTCGATATGAGATTTCATTAGCTTTTCCACATATGGAAATGAATAATATGGGTGATGATGACGACGAGCACGTTATATATATCGACATTTGCTGCAATATCAAAATCTTAATAAGAAAAATAAAAAATGAATTCACACGATATAACATGATGATGAGTGATATAAAATGTAACAGAATGCGTAATTTGTGTTCCAATGTTGACTTACAAACGGCACATTATAGTGAATATTCCTTGAAATCCTATACCCATAACATCAAATGGTAGCATGCTGTCTAAAAAGACAAAATGACAAAATAATAATAATAATAATAATAATAATAATAATAATTAAAAAAAGAAAAGAAAAGAAGCAAAACAAACAAAAAAAAATAAAACAAAAATGGGAAAAAAACTAAAACGAGAGGATATGCAACTGCAGCCTCACGATATTATTAGGTGGGGCATTAGAAGCACTAACCTAGTCTGCCAATCCCATATATATACACACACTCCCAAAATAAATTATTTTATAATAAATAAATATAGATGATATAATGTAACACTCGATCTTTTTGTTTTCTAATTAACTATTTATAACAAATCAATCAATTATAATAAATGTAGTCGATTTCTGGCTAACTTTTCAAAATTAAAATAGATATTATATGAATTTCATGTGAGGACTGTATAGAATTACTGTTGAAATATTATTTTTAATGTTGTGTTATACATACCGACATTTTAAAATGATGATTATTAAGTTTTTGTTATTATAACTACTAAATAATATAAAATTTGATAATTTCATTGATTTCATGTTACAGTTAGAAGTAAACTATCAAGAAAACCTAAATTGTTTATCGCTAATGCTCCCAAAATATATATGTATATATATATATATATATATATATATATATATATATTCATGGGAAGAAAAAGAACCGAGTAGGTGGGAGAATGGTACCTATTATTACAAATTGAACGTGTGACATTAAAATTTCTGATAAATATTGTTTCTGAATAAATCCAAACTCTCCACGTTCATGCGCGTAAAGGTGAAAGGGAAGTGGAGGAGATCTCTGTGTTTATCACATCTAGTTGTTGTTGCATGTTCTACGGATCCCGCAAAACTAAAAAAAAAAATGTTTATTCACAATGTAAGAGAAAAAAAAAACAGAGACATAAGCTAAGCTTGATTTTATATAATTTTGATGCATGGTAAATGATAATAACTATGTACTCGTCTTAATCATGGGTTTTTATGCTTCAAAATCTTTTTTTCACTAATAAACAGTAGTCTTAACCATAAGCTAATCTTGATTTTATATAATTTTATGCTATAAAATTAAAAATAATTGTAAACAGACAGATGGAGATATAAAATAAAGTATATACCCGATTGTATTTTTTTTTTGGATAACCGGATATCATAAACTAATACCTAGACTAATATAAAAGACGAAGTCAACCATATAGAGTTACTGATATCTAACAAAAATTGATAATATGTCAAAGTGATGATCTTTTTATTGGGGATATCATTTGTTGAACCTAAGACATCAAACCAATCCGTTTCCGCATTTGATGAATTGATAGAAAGTAATAGATGCCAATTATATATAGTATGATCATATATTTCCATAGTCTAACTTATTCGAGAGGTCCAACGATATTCTCCACATGACTTATAACGTATACGAGCCACAACCATTATAATTATCATGTTACATTAAATTGATGCGGCTAAAAAGAATCAATATACGACATATATAAAAACTAAAATAGAATTAATAGAGAAAATGTGATAAATAAATAAAAAGTACCTAGAAACTTCATAGGGGAAAAAAGGGTGTATGAACCTCATCCATAAATCTCGGCTTTTGTGATCTGTCTCAATTTCATATAGTGGAGGGACCCTTTTTTCACACACAAAAAAAAGATCGACCTCTTCTATGTGGTTTTGTGGCTATATAAAGGCATGCTCTTCAGCAATAGATTTTGCTTGTGTGGCTTTGGAGGTTAACTCACAAAAAAATACCATTACAAAACTTGCAAGAATCTCTCTACTTCTCTCTCTCTCTCTCTCTCCACTCGTAAACCCTAAAGAAGCAAATGGTTAGACTAGTTTCTTGAATACTATACATTCATTTTACCTGTGCCACTTTGTATGAATTTGGTTGTGTCGGTTTCAGGAGAACAAGGGAGGTTGGACGGTGGCTGACGCCGTGGACTACAAGGGTCGCCCCGCCGAGAAATCCAAGACCGGTGGTTGGATCCCTGCCGCTCTCATCCTCGGTTCGTCTTCTACACATTTCGTTTGTATTTCTCATCATACAGAAGCAGATATATTAAATACACACACAAAGAGGTTTAATTATACAACACTATCACTATTTTGCTTGGCTTTATACCAATGCCATGAGATTGTGTCATGGGGACGCGAATTCTTATTCATCCATAAAGGTGCGGTGCATAAACACTAGGTCATAATACAATGCCTTAGAAACGTGTTTTAATCAATTGGGTACCTAAATCATATGTGCAATTTACATGTGCATACATGCATTCATGTGCATACAAGCGGTTAATTGTTCATGCATATACAGTTGATGAGATCTTAACTATCTCCAATATGTGTACGTGGTGTGCGCGTATGCATGGCGAGAAAAAAAAAACCCCACTTGCAAAACTTTACGAATTTTATACAAGGGTTCCATCTTGAAGCCTATCACATTTGATGAGCATATGCATACATATCTGTTTTATGTATATATAAATGCGTGTGCATGTATGTATGCATGCATGCATGCATGTGTGCTTGTATGTACGCATATATGTATGCATGTACGAGTGAACACGCTTAGTTTAGCTTTTTCTAGTTGAGCGGAGAGGAGAGACCAATGGAGGTTTAAAAAGGAGAAGGGGACACTGCACATGCAGTCCCCATCCAAAATCTCCAACTCATTCACTTTTTTCGTGTGTGTATATATATATATACATATATATATATACATATATTAGTTATGCTTTATTATATTATTCAACGTAGGATAAATGATAAATCCGACGTCCCATTCAATTTTTTTTTTCATTTTCAACCCAAATAGAAAATAAAATAAAATAAAAACAAGATTAGATCAAGCATTTATTTTCACGTGTCTGCTTATGAAAAAAAACCCCGCCTCTAATACATTGTTTGGTAATATTATTAATATATTCGGCTTCCATTAGGAAGTGAATTTAATCTAAGATAAATCATTTTATATATGTGGCATCTCGTAGATTCGTAGTCGAATATTATCACATCTTAAATCTGGAGGTAGTTTCATGACATTTTAATCCATGCTATATCTATTAATATATATACATAAATATATATATATATATATCAACACGTATTTTTTGTACAATTTGTTTGTTCGACCCACAAAATTGGAATAAAATAATTGCAATGATTGAATATATTTGCATCCACACAGATTCTGATCCAGGAGTTTGATAATGGCTGTCTCAATCATACTGTAATATCCAAAATCAATAAATCTTTGAATCATTACTATCAGATTAGATTTGGCTTTGGGAAACAGAACAGAGATAGAGATTGTGTAGTGTCTCGATCCCTTTGTCATAAACCCATGATTAAAATAAAAGAACATCATTAGGGTTTATTAATTAGGTCAAAACACACGATGTTTTTGTTATTATGCTTGGACTATATATATATATATGTATATATATGTATGTATACAACTAATTAAGGCGAATGAGTTTTAACAAATATTCAGGAATAGAGATAGTGGAGAGGCTGTCGACGATGGGAATCGCAGTGAATTTGGTGACATATCTGATGGAGACAATGCATCTGCCGAGCTCAACCTCTGCAAACATTGTCACCGACTTCATGGGAACTTCCTTCCTCCTCTCCTTGCTCGGCGGCTTCCTCGCCGATTCCTTCCTCGGCCGCTTCAAAACCATCGCCGCTTTCGCCGTCGTCCAAATGCTGGTAATCTACCCAAAATAATCGTTTTCGAGAATCTTTTATTTAAGTTTTACAACAAAAAAAATATGATATATATATTATTTATTTATTTATTACATGAGGATGACGTGACAACGATGTGTCAAAATCAAAATTATATTCCAATTGTCATGTCAATCTATAGAGTTAAATTTGATGTAGTTTACAAAATTTAAGTTTATTTAAATATAAACATCATAGTTGTAAAACGTAAAATTTAGGGTTTAGATTTCCCAAACATATAATTTGGATATATAGATTTGGGTTTAATGGGTCAGGATGGTGAGAGGTTAATGACATTTTTGCAAATGGTGTGGTGCAAATAGGGAACTGGTTCACTGGCATTAGCGACCAAGTTGCCCGGACTACGTCCTCCGCCGTGCCACCACGGCGAACACTGCAATCCCGCAAGCGGTTTCCAGATGACAATTCTCTATATAGCGCTTTACCTCATAGCCCTCGGGACCGGCGGCCTCAAGTCCAGCGTCTCTGGATTCGGATCCGACCAATTCGACGAGAAAGATCCCAAGGAAAAGTCTCAAATGGCTTATTTCTTCAACAGGTTCCGACCTTCAACCCCTTATTACAGTTTCATTTGTTTTAACGGACGCAACAAAGGAACTTATCCGCGTCGATGTTTTGACAGGTTTTTCTTCTTCATAAGCATGGGAACATTGATGGCTGTTACAGTGCTTGTGTACATGCAAGACGAGGTGGGGAGAAGCTGGGCTTATGGCATTTGCACCGTGTCTATGGTCGTAGCCATTGTATTGTTCTTGTCCGGGACTAAAAGGTACCGATACAAGAAGAGCCGAGGAAGTCCGGTCGTGCAGATTTTACAGGTTCTGGCCGTTGCCGCGAGAAAGAGAAAGATGGATTTGCCTCAAAGCATTGCTTACCTATACGAGGATTCTTCCGAGGGTTTGCGGGTCGATCATACTGACCAGTTTCGGTAAGCGATCGTCTCATCGATTAATTGGTAACTCAAAGATCACAAAATATCAGAAAACTCAAAAGAAACCATGTTCGTTTTTTTGGGTAGCTTGTTGGACAAGGCAGCCATAGTTGCGGAAGGGGATTTCGATCAGAACCTCGATGGTACTGCAGTTCCTAATCCATGGAGGCTATGCTCAGTCACGAAAATCGAAGAAGTGAAAATGATGGTCAGGCTCTTGCCGATTTGGGCAACTACCATAATCTTTTGGACAACGTACGCGCAAATGATTACATTCTCCGTCGAACAAGCGTCGACCATGGAACGTACCATCGGAACCTTCGTGATTCCAGCAGGTTCCCTCACGGTTTTCTTCGTCGCGGCCATTCTCGTCACTCTCGCGGTCTATGACCGTGCCATAATGCCTCTGTGGAAGAAATGGAAAGGCAAACCAGGTAAGGAAATGCAAACATTATGACAACAATCACTATTCCCCGAACGATTTCTTGATTAAACTGATGTAATGTATATATATATATATATGGATATACACATTTCAGGTTTTTCAAACTTACAAAGAATGGCAATTGGATTAGTCATGTCCACCGTTGGAATGGCGGCTGCGGCTCTAGCAGAGCAAAAACGTCTCTCGGTTGCGAAATCTGTCACTCATAACTATAATAAAACGCTACCGATCAGCGTGTTCTTCCTCGTGCCTCAGTTCTTTCTCGTAGGATCGGGCGAAGCGTTTATATACACCGGCCAACTCGATTTCTTCCTCACCCAGTCTCCCAAAGGAATGAAGACGATGAGCACCGGGCTTTTCTTGACGACGTTATCGTTGGGGTTCTTCGTGAGCAGCTTCTTGGTGTCTGTGGTGAAAAAGGTGACGGGAAGTTCTGGAAATGGACAGGGATGGCTGGCCGACAACATTAACCACGGTCGGCTTGATTGCTTCTACTGGCTTCTCGCTGTCCTAAGTGGGATCAACTTCGTGGTCTATATGGTGTGCGCCTTGTGGTTCAAGCCACGAAAGGGTAAAGGCGCATTGGAAATGGCAGATGGCAAAGGCTTTTCGGTCGAAGACAACTGCTAACAAAGGCTGTTTTCTTCTAGGTCTTTTGTTTCTTGCGTATCAAGCAATCGAGTCGTATATTCTCTTTGACGTCATCCTATTATTGCATTTCTTAAAAAGGATGAAAAAAGGTTTCTTGTGTCACAAGCAAGTGGGTTGGGTTCAAATAGGGTTTGTTCTTGCTGTTTTGTCAATCTTTTCTTCTCGGTTAGGTGTCAACCTTTGTATTTTGCTCATACATTTTTTTTTTGGTCTTTTTGGTCCTTTTGAAAGGCGAGTTAGAAAAAATAATGAAATAAATATAAATATAACAGACACCAAAATAAATATCAGTTGTTCTAAAATAAATTACATTTTCATTTTCACAGTCAAACTATTAATTTCTTAAAACAAAATATTTAACTTCTGAATTTGTTTTTTTTTTCTTATTATCAATCATCCGAAAATCTAGTCAAAATATCAACGGTCAATGTCACATGGCTTCACTTGATGCCACACCGTCAACAACCAATTAAAATAAATAAATAAATAAATAAAATATTATTTTAAAAAAATTATTGTGTGATTTTGATCGATATAGATATGTCAATTACAAAGGACTTTCAAACATAAAATCAAGAAATCCAATGTTTTGGCATTCAGATCTTCTAAAACCCTAATCGTTAGAGATCTTACGGAGCTCCTGATGAAACTATTAAAGCGTGTCAACTTAAAAGCAGTTTTGTCGTAATGAACACCAAAAGGGTTTGGAGAAAGAAGATTGATTTGCCCGATTGTCTGAATGTTCCGAGATTCTTCCACTGCCCCCACGAGCTATAACAGAAGTCTAAGATCACAGTCACAGATACATCACGTTATGCAACTAAACAGGATATACTATTTCCACTTTCGCAGTACAGAAACCCGACAAGGACGAGGACTTACACGGGCAAGAGCAGAAACCTCGGGAAGGAAACGAGTCCGCCGAGCAAAAACATCTGCTATGATCCATTGTAAAACCGTTTGCAGACAAAGACGCCTAGAATTAGCGAAAGGACAGAGACAACTCCTTGTCTTGAACGCCAAAACTCGGCCCACGTTAAGGGTCTTTTGATTTCAAACAAAACCTTCTTGAACTGTTCGTTCAGGTCATCGAGTGACCCGTTATTGTCAATCACAATATCAGCCTTGCTCCTTTTTAACTCCAGGGGCATCTGAGCGTTCACTCTGTTTCCCGCATCTTCCTCGTTCGACCCATCCCTCTCCATGAGACGTTTAAGCTGTGTTTCAGGATTCACCCACACAACAATAATGGGTTTCGTCCATTTATCCAGCTTGGCCTCGAACAACAAGGGGATATCGAGAACGATCACTTTTGCACCCTTGGCCCATAGTTTCACGATTTCCCAAAAGATACCAGAAGATATATACGGTGCCAGCAACCTGTAGAATGAAAGACAGGAACCCAAGCTCAGGATTACCAGTACCCAGGTTCAGTAATCAATGGAGGTTAGCGCCAATTTATACTTGTTCAGAAGTTGGCGTTTGGAAGGAGAAGAGAACACAATCTGGCCGAGTTTTGGGCGATCAACTTCTCCACTGGGCAGTAGGATCTCCTCTCCAAATGCTGCAACGACCTTTTTCCAACCCCGAGTTCCTTTCTTTAGAACATCCTACAGATCAAACACTCCACACTTTTGATAAACAAAAAAAGATTGCTAAATCACGTGTAAGTAAGACCTACATAATCCCTTGCAAATGGTTAAAACATATGATGCACATGGCAAATCTACACCAAGGAGCTAAACGATGAATATGAGGGCAAGCAAACAAACTAAGCCTCCCATTGGATTGACTTGAAATCCTTTTGTCCTAAGATACATGACCACGTTTTTCCAAGAATTCAGAAAAGACCAACTTTTCCATGACCCATCTCGATGTTTACGAGAAAACTAGGCTTAACACCCAGAAATTGGAGGGAACAAACCTAGAACTTCACCATTGAAGAGAGAGAGAGAGATTACTCGAGCAATGAGATCGGCGTCAACAACAGGAATGTAACTAGCCTTGAAGAGGTTAGAGACCGTGCTCTTCCCCGATGCGATCCCTCCCGTGAGCCCAACTAATCTCATCCTCTCCGACACAACTTATATTATCTCCTCGCGTTCGTCGTAAACACCTTGTAAGAACGTGACAACAATTGGAAACTCAGTACCATGGATTATGAAAATGTTGGGTGGTCTCTAGATGTTTTGGAAACCCTAAAACTTTGGAGCCAATGATCAACCAGACCCAACAACTCTTCAACATATACCAATCTTCATCGTAGAGACAGAGATGCCTCCAAAATTTTGAATTCAGCAATTTCCATACAAGAAATCACAATCAAAGACATCATATATGCAAAACCCAATATAGGATGCACGAGGAGCAAATCAATCAACTCAAGAAAACCAAAACGACGTAAGAAATTCAGATTGAGGTTGAGAGAAAGGGTCAAAAACCCACAATGCGAAAAAAAGGGGAAAGGGGGGGATGAGATCTCCAATGATTACTTTAAAATCATAACCAGAAAGATGGTGGAAATTAAGCAATGATAGAATTCCGGAACGGTTAAAGCTTATTGCTGCCATTTCCCAGACTCACTATAACCCAATTGAAAAATAAAATAATCAAAATCAATAATTACGCGCAAATTGGAGGATCATCTGAGGGTTACGATAAGGTCCCTTATCTCCCTTACTGAAATCGGAGGAAACCTCACCAGCGAGAAACGAGAGAGAGAGAGAGAGTTCACCGGAAGAGACGACACAGCAGCGATGGAGACGACGTTGACGCTTCGGTGCCGCCGAGAGAAAATCGCGAGAGTGGAAAGGTTTCGATAAATATGTGTACAAGCCTCTTTCTCTCTCTCTATATATCTCTTTGTATGTTTATATGTGTATAAGTATGTGTATATATATGAGTGTATATGTGATCGTTCGTAATTTTTCTGTTGACGATGCTTAACTCCGATATCTTTGGTTAAATTTAGGGATGAACATCTCGGTTATTAACCGAATAACCGAACCAAATCGAACCGAATTACAGCGATTCGATTCGGTTCGGTTATTCATCTAATAACCGATCGGTTGAACAAATTCAATAACCGTTTGAATTCGATTCGGTTCGGTTAATAACCGAATAACCGCGGTTAACCGTATAGTTATTAGTGTTTATTTAGTTTTTAGTTTTTTATTCTAAATATTTATGTAATATTTTTACAATTTCGTTTTCAATTTTCATATATTGATATCTCAACTTTCAAAGTTAATTTTTTGTTTGATTAAAATCTTATTTTTGATATAATGCCAATTTATTGTACTTTTTTAAAATAAATAAAGATAAAAAATGTAGTTGAAATTTTTGAAGACTTTCCAAAATTTTGAGAATTTTGGAAAATTAATATTGTGTATTTTAGTTTAGATTGATAATTTTAAAGGATTAAATTAATATTATGATGTAATTGGAAGTTTTTAAAGATTTTTTTGTAATTTATTTCGTATATATTAGTGTTTATTTATAACCGAATATAACCGAACCGATCCAAATTTAACCGTTCGGTTATAATTTTTTGTGCTAAAACCGAATCCGAAATAACCGAAACGAAAACCGAATCGAAACCCGAAATGACCACCCCTAGTTAAATTCATGTGTTTCATGACATTTTTTACATCTATATATTATATATTTATAATATGTTTTTAATAACACCATCAAAATTGTTTACAACTGCTGTGTTTGATTGGCTGCCAATGGATTCTGGGAGTGGCATTGCCTTATCCTGCTTCTCTTAGGGCTCTCGTGGGTCGGTTGACAATCACTCACTCGCCCAAACATTACCATATTATGCGGTACATAAGTTGAGTCAGTGTGCTGATTCCTGATTCCAGAAGATTTCGGTCTGACAACGTATTTTGAGATTTCGACCGGCAAATCTCTACTGCGACAGTAAATCCGCCATCCATATCGTCTCCAATCGAGCATCTCATGAACGAACAAAGCACGTCGAAATCGATTGCCATTCGGTGAGAGATAAGCTAAAGTCCTTGCATCTACGGTCGTTATTTCATTCTTTGCTTCAGAAGTCCAATCCATCAAGTTCATGTCTGCCTTCACACACCTGTAAATTTGAAGGGTATACATGCATTCTGTTATTCGTTCTCTACTCTCTTTCCTCTGTTCTCAGACCTCCATTGATACAGAGCTTCGTTTTTTCGAACACTAAAAGACAGCAGAACGCTTCCCCGAAATGGAACAGTCATATGCTCTTTCTATTCTTGAATCTGATATCAACTGCTCTGGCTTTTCAGGGAATCGCTACCTCGTAAGCGGTCGTGGGTTCTGTTTAGATGGGGCCGAGTTTTCAGTCTCAGGAACTGTCGACTTCAAGAAGGCAAGAAGAAACCCATATTTCTGTCGACTGTGGGTATAATTGATGGTTCCATCAAAGATGGGTCATTTTTAAGACAATGGTGCACGTGATTTAAACAATCATTAGGTTATGGAACCAAAGCATAAACTAAACCAAAACGCATGCACGCATTTAATTGCGAAAGAACAAACAAGATTTGCACGTCAAGCAGTTCAATCAAACCACAATCTAATGGACATTACATGAAAATGTAGCTGCTGCTGCTCTCACAGCAACTCTGTTAACCATGTCATCAGACAGCCAAAAACCACATCTAACCATCTATTACACCGCTACATATGACCAAAACACGCGCACTTATTATATCGTCATGTAAACAAGTTCGATCTTTCCACACGAATCCATGTTTATATAAAAAACACGAACAAACCTAAGGTGAGAAGTTAATGATAGGAAATGATCAAACCTCTGCGTATGATCCTTCCGAACTGCAGAATTTGCCACGGGTCAACCATCGGTGCTGACGCCAAACCCCCAAAGTCGGATCAAAGTGGGTCCAGCTGTGTGGTTTCAGAAGCTCTTCAGAAGATGAACCCTAACCCTAAATATGAAAGCCCAGCACCAGACATAACATTTATTGGTTGATTCCACATCTGTTTACTCATAGTAACTATTAAGAAAGGCGTTTCCAATCGGGATGCTCATCAAAGCTCTGTTCAGAAAGAAGAGAGAGCAAAACCTTGGAGTCAACTCCAAACAGGCTTTTCCTCCGGCCATCTGTCAAAGTTTGAACCTCTCCCGCAATGATGACGCCTGCATAACCACCCCGCACAAGCTATGATCCAACTTCCTATAAGTCCCCGAACCTTTCTACCAGTTGCTAAGCTGTGCTGTAACGCTTTTCACCACTGGATGGTACTGCGTATGCAGGTACTTCCTCGCCTCTTTCGAACCCGGCCCATCGAGCCATTCCTCGTATAGTCTCTTTGCTATTGGATTCTGGAACGGATCTGCCGCCAGAACCTGAATTCAATGGATGAAAGACCGATTAGCAGAGAGATTAGTCGTAGGATGAGTGACAGAAACACTCTACCCTTGCATGGCCACTCACGTCTTCCATATATGCAGCTTCGAGAGACTGGATCAGATCTTTCGGGGACTGGCCCGGCTTTGGCTTGATCTGCCCACCTCCATTTAAGCAACCTGATTCATCACAATATGGAGAATTCGTTGGACCGACAAACAAGAACCTCTCCAACAGAAGGCTTCTCACACTCAAAGCAAGAAAAATGGAGTAGAACATTTATTTACCAGTAGGACATGCCATTATCTCCACAAAGTGGTAATCACATTTCCGTGTCTTCATTCTCCGGACGATGTTTTGGAGGTTTTGGAAACCGTAACATAACGCAAATTTCAACACTGTTTTTCCTTCCACCTTCAGGGCAAAAAAAAACAGATTGTCAGGCAAAAAGTTGATAAATGTGAGCCACGTACAGGAATTTCAAGATTCGAAAGCTTACTTCAAGCGTCAGTTCACGGAAATCCGAATTTCTGAGAGTTCTGAACTCAAGAGGACTATTAATGTCTTTTCCGAATAGTGTTTTCGCGGCATGTCTGAATATTGTTTCTGCATAACCACCGGAACTTCCAGAAACACCGTAAAGATTCCCTTCTTCAGAAAGATTTGTCAACCTGTTTTATGCATGGATAAAGAAAGGGTTTTGAGAGAAATAAGACACATTTTTCCAGAACAGAATGAAATTCTACGCTGCCAAGTGCCAAATGTAGGAGAAAAAGAAAAAACAGTCATTCTTACAATCTGTCAAGTGGAGATTCCTCTAACTCCTTAAAATCAACTCCTTTCAACTGCAAAACAGATCAAACAAAATTAGTTTGTGATGGATGAACAATGTAGCAGTTGCCATTAGCGTGGAAGCAGAACTCAAACTGTTTACCTTTATCAGATCCAAAACTTCACCAGTTGTCAGGACAGAATCAACCTCTGTCTGCTCAAGACCTTCATTATCACGGGTTCCACCTTCCGACCCCATTTGAAAAACAAAATCGTCTCTTGCAGCCTCAAGCTTTTTATCATAACAGGGCATCACAGTCACATGGTAAACCTCTTCCAACCTATTTCCATGAATCCACAACAGTTGAATCGAATCACCAATTCGATGTAGGACAACAATTAAAAAGAAAAAAAGTATGAGGCAACAGCTTGCCTGAGTCCCAATGCTCGATACAAATGGTGCTTGATCGTGGCTCCAATTGATTGTTGGGGACTTTTAACCGAAGAAATGTACGGCAGAATATAGGATCCAAGCTGCTTTTCGGCATAACATATCCAACCTGGAATCAGAACTCTCTCCCATAACATTCAGATCGATTGATTTATGGCCCAAAAGTCATAGGTGAGTTAAAACAAGTTCAGCCCGTGAAATTACCAGGACAAGCCGAGGAAAGCATAGGAAGGGGCGGACTACAGGTTTCATCATGCGGAGAATTAGCTTGCTTGTAGCGATTCACGAACTCGTTACAAGCCTCAATAAGCACTAAATCTCTACTGCAGCTCGTATCAAACACAGCTTTAACTCCCAAAGACTTGAGGAATGTAGTGAGTTTCTTGAAAACCTGACGAGGGGAGATGCCATAATGAACTGCGAGGGAAGCTCTCGACTGCGGGGAAAGGGATACGATCACGTCCTTTCCTTTGTTAAGATTAGAAAGAAATTCATCCAAACTTTGCTTCTCGAGCATAACCGTCTCTGCGGATGTTATGCATCCACTGCATCATAGATGGAAAGAATTCACTACCATTTCACTCCATGAACGCAGTAATTGATGTTCATGAGAACACTAACCTGCAAGCCAAGCAATCCTTGAGAGAAATTTTCACGGCTTCAGTCTGTTGCTGCTTGCTGGCAAGCACAACCTTCAGAAAAAAGAAAAAAAAAAATATCACCGGCTGATGAATACGTGCAACCATCTTCGAATTTCTAAGCAACCCGCAAATTGAACATGTACAAGCAGAAAATATTGGAAATTCTCGCAAAGGATTGGGATTTTGAACCTGGGGTCTATCGGGTTTCTTGCTGGTGGATTGGGTACCCTTGAGAGAGATGACACAAGCTTGAGATGGAGCAATGAAATCGCTAAGATCGCCGATCCGTAGCGTCGGCGAGAATTTCTCTGACATATCTACTCACTATCAACCAATTGAAAGATAAAATAATCAAAATCGATAAGTACGAGCAAATCGACCGGTGATCTGAGGGTTACGAAAAAGCCCTCTATCTCCCCTTACTGAAATCGGAGGAAACCTCAGTAACGAGAAACAAGAGAGAGAAAGAGATAGAGAGAGAGAGAGAGATTTCACCGGAACAGAGACGAAGACGAAAGTGGTGGTGGTGATAGAGACGACGTTAATCTTCGGCGCCGCCGATAGAAAATCGCGAGAGGGATTTTTGAGGGTCGGCGAAGGAGGAGTCTTTTGTTTGTCTTGTATTTTCTTCTTCGTTTTAACTTCTAATTATTGCATTGGAGTCCTCCACTGTTCAACATTCTCGTTTTCATACGAAACTTTGATTTAATAAAAAAAAACCCTTTTAAATCATTGTTTTCAACCATGAATTCCTGAATAAACTAGAAGTCCCATTATTAAATAAAGCACTAGAAATTAATCGTAAATATTTATGAATAAGAAGGTCCATTATCAAAAAGAAAATAATAATTTCTATTTTTGGTCCATAATCTAATAAATATTATTTAATTAGACCGCTTAAACGGCATTTAAAACACCAATACAAAAATCACTGAGCATCAAAAAGAAAGTCTGAATTTTCCACACAGAAATTCGGACATATACACGTGTCAACTATGATTGGACAGATTGACTGCCTTCTCTACGCTTCGCTTAAACTGGTTCTCACTTCTGTTCTGTTTCCTTTTACTGTGAGAGAACGAATCCCCAATTTCTCAGCACAGATCTCTCATTCTTGTTCTCCCCGTTCAATAGTTTCTTCCCAGATCTGAAATCGAGCGTCGAGCGTTTCTCCTTCCATGGAAATTTTCTCTCTTTCTTGAACAAGATCGAGATCTCTTTCTGGAAACACACTTTCCGGGAAAATATTCTCCATTTCCATGGCGAACGCTTGGAAAAAAGAGAGGAACCAGAAACTCCTAACACCCAAATCCCTGATCTTCGTCCTCATCCTCTCCGCTGTCTTCATCTCCTCGATCTTCTTCTTCTCCTTCTCCGGTTCATCGTCTCAACAGAACCCAAATCCCAATCTCACCATTAGAACCCCCTTCCCAGTCCGTACAATCTCTCCATTCGATTGCTTCAAATGCCCGCAATCAAAACCCGTTATCGCTAACACAGTGGAGAATCTCAAATACCCATTTATATACTCGCTCGCGGATCTTGGGAATTTGCCGGAGAAGCCGCACAAGAACATCGTGAGGCTCCTGAAAGGTAAGGCCTTTCGGAAACCAGACATCTCTGCTACGATTCAAGACGTTCTTGAGAAGATTAGAGGAAAAGAGAAGAATGGGTTCGTCGTCGATGTTGGTGCGAACGTGGGTATGGCGAGTTTTGCTGCTGCAGCCATGGGGTTCAAGGTCATCTCTTTCGAACCGGTTTTCGAGAATTTGCAGAGGATTTGCGATGGGATTTGGTTCAATAGAGCTTCTCATTTGGTTACAGTGTTTGAAGCTGCTGCTTCAGATCGTAATGGGAACATAACTTTTCACAAGGTATGCTTTTTGCATCTTTGTTTATATTTTCTGGGATTACGCTAAACGAATGCATAAATGGTTTCTGGACAAGTGAGGATTGGATTAGGACATTATAGTCAAGTGGTAACTAGCATGAATGTATGTATGTATGTATATATATATGATCATACAAGATTCAGAGGAATGAATTAGGACATTGAAGTGATTTGTTTCTCTAGCCAGCTCATAGATGGTATCTAGACAAGTAAGGATTGGATTAGGACATTATAGTTAAGTGATCATACAAGATTCTGAGGATTGAATTAGGACACTGAAGTGATTTGTTTCTCTAGCCAACTCATCGGTTCAAGATTTGTGTGTGTGATTCTCTTGCCAATGGCTTTCAGTAGATTCAACCAAAATGGTTTTCATGAGCTGCGAGGCTTTGGTTTCTTGCATTGGTTGTTGTTTCTCTCCTTTAGCCCGTTTCGTCACTATCAAATTCGGGTTTTCTCTCCTCTGGTTTCTTGTATAGTTCATGTTTAACTGATACTGTAATGTGAATCCATTCTCTTATTCCAGCTGGTTGGACGGCTTGACAACAGCGCGGTCTCGGCAGTCGGGGCAAAACTCGCGTTCCAATCCAACAAAGAGATAGAAGTTCAAGTGAGATCAATCCCTCTCGATGAAGTGATCCCTGATTCAGAACCCGTCGTTTTGCTCAAGATCGACGTTCAGGGTTGGGAATACCATGTCCTGAAGGGTGCGAAGAAACTGCTGTCGAGAAAATCGGGCCAGGCTCCGTATCTAATCTACGAGGAAGACGAGAGATTGTTGCAGGCAAGCAATAGTAGCTCCAAAGAGATTCGGGATTTCCTGAAAAGCGTAGGGTATAACAAATGTGACCAGCACGGTACAGACGCCCATTGCACCAAGGACTGAGGAAAGAAACGAAAAACGACGATCCTGACATCGGCTTTGGTAAGACGGGGGAATAGACGAAACTTGACCTTTGGAGAGTCGGTTTATGTATCGGTTATAGCTCTGTGGATTCGACGAAACCGGGAATTTTTGAAGTTTGTAAGAGATGGATTCGGCTGTAGAAGAGAAGAAGATGATCCTTGATGAAATCTAAACCTAATGCTAAGGCTAGTTTCAGTGTCAAGCCATTTTTGTTTGTAGTTGTAATTTATGTGTTACATTCTTTAATTTCGGATATTATGATTCATCACATCTAATCAGTAAGGAGATCTAATGCTTGTTGGTGTTTTCAGGTTATTTAAATTATTCATATTAATTAATAAAAATTAGAATTAATTTTGTGCAATATTCTTTATTTTTATCATGCAATTAGTCTAAAAATATTTTGTCAATGGTAGACTATGCGAGTCTAAAACTCTTACACGCAATGTCTTTCTAGTTTATATCGACGGTTATAATTAGTTTTCAATTATAATTTGCCCTTTTATCCAAACGCTTAGAAATATTTAAAAAATAACCCCGAAAAAGGGTATTTTGGTAAGTTTACTCCCGTTTGCGGAGCGTCACTTATCTGCTCTTGTGGGTAAAGATTATCGCTTCGGACAGAATCACAACCAGTTTTCTGTGTTCGAAAACCTTTGTTTGGTAATAAAGCTTCAAGAACGCACACAGACCAGAGGAGGAGGAGGAAAAAAAATGGCGAACTCCTTATGCTTCTCTCCTACTTGTTCCCTCCAATCTCCAAAAAACCCAGGTACTCTGAAACTTTTTTATACCCTTTTTTCCCTTTTTTGCATAAGTTGGAGTCCTTTTTGATGATTCGTCCAAGAATTTTTACTGGCTTTTGTTATTCATAGGGTTAGCAATCGATAGATCCTTGGCCCGGAAGGTTGTTTTTGTCAGAGATGTGTTGCGGAACTCAAGAACAAGAACTGCGAAAACCCAATCTTTCGAAGTTAAGGTTAGAAATTTCATTCCTTCACTTTGATTTTCCAGCGTGACGAGCTTTGGTTTTGTTCTAAGTCAATTTCAAGGCAATGTGAGCGACTAATCTCCCTCCCGCGCCTTTTTTCCGAGAGATCTTCGTCGGTTTCATCGTCAAAGATTGTAACTTGACGAGAGATATGTTCTTAAAACGTTTTCAAGAGTTTATAAATGGATGTAGCAATCTATGATGTTCCAGAACATGTGTTTGTGGCTTGAAGGTTTCACATTACTCTCTTTGTCAAGGGCTTGTGTCCCATTTGTTTGGATTCTTGTTCACATCTTACGGTTCTAACCCATGCCTCACCCCGAAAATAACGATCACGGTTTCGTTTTCTTCATCTCGGGTTGACAGGCGATGGATAATAACCAAAGCACCAAGAAGAACAGTATTCTTTGCCCAGATTGTGAGGGTAACGGTAAGCACTGCAAAACCATTACAATTCCTGACGGTTTATCCTACTCGGATGCTAAATTCAGTCACCCTTTGTCGTGTCCAAGATCGATGGATCTCGTTTTTTAGCAATTTGAAGAATTGACCATACGGGTTCCTATGCTTAGCTCGAAGTCTCGTTAATGTTTGCCTGTTTCTTGATTTCAAATGGGTAGGTGCTGTGGCATGTTCTCAATGTAAAGGAAGTGGTGTTAATTCCGTGGATCACTTCAACGGGCAATTCAAAGCCGGTGCAATATGTTGGCTCTGCAGGTTCGTCTCCTTGAGCTACTGATACTTCCTTCTTCCTCGCTCTCATTGCTTGCTGAAATGAATATTCTTTTCTTGATCATAAGAAGGGTACTTCGATATGAATGATATGCTCTCTCTTAGTTGCTGTTGATGACAAACAAAGGCGATTTCCTCTTAGCTGATTTCATCGTCTCGCCTCATCTTTCATCCCGATTTGTCCTTCATGAACCCGATGGTGTAGATATTTTTTTTTTGTTTTTTGTTTTGGAAGGGGTAAACGGGAAATTCTGTGCGGAAACTGCAACGGAGCTGGCTTCATGGGCGGATTCTTGAGCACATTCGATGAGTAGAAGCTTCAGGAAAGCGGATCCAGTCATGTTTCATCGGTCTGTTGTCTCCTTACAAGATCATTCATGAACATATTGGAACCAAAACCAAATTATTTAGCTATTGTCCTTTGTAAGTTACTGGAAAAGCCTTGGAAATTTTGCCCCCAGTTTATTTGGAAGGAAACAAAACTGTTGAAATAAGAACGGAGGAACCCCCCCTCCCCTCCAATACTATTGGAAGTGGAAGAAAGATTCAGACACGAGAAATTAGACTCCTAGACACCAGTATATGAGAATCCTTCATTTGAACCGTACAATGCTCCATTCGATGGCAACAAGGCGATTTTGTTGGATGAATTCGTACGGACCATTCCACCGAATCGGGATTGGATCTTTATTTGTATGAGTGCAAGGTAGGATACCCGACCTCAACCTCAGTCTCAATCTTATTGAATTATTGGACGATAATGTCTCCATCTTAAGCCTCACGAGGTCCGGATATCCGTGACTTGTGTGTTCGTTACAAGATCGGATGTCCGCATGATTTTGACCCCGTGAATATTAAATCAAATTTTTTTTTGAAATAGATCCTATATAATATAATCGAATTCCATAAATATTTCTAAGCCAAAATCATTTATAAAACGTGATCCAAAATATATAAATTCGAATGTTATTTCACAAAAATCATCAAAATCTCAACTCAGTTTCCAAATAAAACATACCAAATACTATTCCTATAATAATTTCGTTTTTTTGTAATATTTTCTTCTATGTTTCACTCTTTCTATTATTATTATTATTATTATTATTATTATTATTATCAATAAAACAAAACCATTTCAAACAGTATGAAACATCCCAAAGAAAATATTATTACCAAGCATTTATTATACATGTCCGTTTTACTAACGGCGAGAACGTCTCAATAACGGCCGTTTACTTGGCCCGTCTACTTTAGAAAGCCGCCGAGGAACCACCAGCAACGGACTCCGTCGTAGACTTGACGTTGCCATTACGGGAATGGTGACACTCGTCGAAGCCGTACCAAACGGCGTCAGGTAAGAAGACGTTAAAATAGAACGTGACGGACCTAATGGAGGAGCCGTAGATCTTGACGTTATCGGGTTTCCAGCCGTCGGATCCCTGCCTGAGGAAATGGAGGTAACAGACTTCCCTCATACACGGTCCCGTTATTCGGTAAGTGTCCGTTGAACATCTCTCGAATGTCTTCGAATACGGGTCGTCAAGTCTCTTCACGTACACCTGAACCAAAAAAAAACATATATGTTTTATTACTATCCAAATTGATGAATTAATATTATCTATATATATATATATATATTAAAAATGCGATTTTCTGCATCAAATCTCGTTTTGTATATGAAAATCAAACCTAAAAAGCCGACCCTCATTTCAGTTTTGAACCATTTCTCTAAACTCGAATCGCTTAAAACCAAACCAAAAACTAAAAAATGTTATTTTGGATCTTAAAATTCTTATTTTTGTATCCGAAATTTTTATTTAAAAACACTGAGTTAATTATAAATAAAATATTTTGGAAATAAGATCATTTGATATCTACTCCAAGGAAAAACCAAGGACAATGCCGTGGTCTTCAATATTTCCTTTTAAAAATACTGATATTCGGACAAATAAATAAATAGTTTTTGTTTTGACAGCTAGAAACTTCGGATTATCTTCTAATTATTTTAAATTTTTTTAAAGTTTTCCAAACGTAATTGAAGCAAAATTAGAATATAATTATTTATAACAAATCTGGACAATGTGTATTGTTGTCGTTGAAGACATCTGTCCTTTCCCTA